GGTGGCCTGAAACAGTTCTGTGGACGCAATGTAGGAAATTAATAGCATTACTACTGATCAATAATCGTAAACCCATTGTAACTAGAGGAAGTTTGTAATTTGCAGTTTAAGATTAAAATTCTCACTTCTAAAATAGATCCTGTAGTTAATGTTTGAAGAAGACATTTGTGACTTTTGAAACATGAGTTTCCTAACTGATGTGTGAACCATTTCTGGCAGTGTTTTCTATTAAATTATTGTAATTCTTAATGGAGTATCACAGTTATCATATGAAAGTGACAGTGCAACAAGCAGAGCGATATAGTCAGCTCTTCTTCCAACACTATATCAAAAAAAGAGATTCAGAAAAAATAGTTACAGAGTGAGTAATAGACAAGGTGAGCAAAAATTAAAACCATAAATATGCCTGCTCAAGAATTGGCATTAGAATATGAAAGATGCCCATGCAGTGTTATTCACTGGGATAATGCATTTATCCAAAATGACTTACCCTGCTGTATAAATAGATACCAATGTGTTTTAATGAAGCACTGTGAATGGAGGTGTCTTGCTCAATGGCAAAACAGGCAGGTCCCACAGCTCCAGCCTTGGCTCTGCACTACAGGTCAAGCAGTGCAGTGCTGAATATAGGCTGTGTGTGCTGGGGAAGAAGGGTTTGAGCTTTGCTGTGTGGATTAGACCGCGTTCTGACAAGGTGTTGAAAGGTGATCAGGGATGGAGAAGTCTGTATTACAGCATAACTAAAAGACACCAACAGGAATAAAAAATATTATGTACAAGTCCCAAGGCAAGGAGCAGAAGACATGAGCAAATGAAGAAAACTGTTGTATTCCCTTTTAATTTTCTACAAAGCACAGGATCTCTCCACTGTCTGACTAGATCATTGACTTTTACACCTCAAAAGAAGGTTAGATTATCTTAAAGAGGTTTTGTAAACTTTTCTTTTTCAGAAGCATGAACATTGAGTGAAGAAATCTGTGTAGGAGATTTCATTCCACATTACCATGATTTGTATTTGCAAGGGTCAGAAAACAGCCAACTTTTCAGATGGCTGGAGGAGACTTTTTTTCAAATCAGAAGGTAATCTTGGAGTCTCTCCCAATAGACTATAGCCAGTGGTAAAAATGAGTACCAGACTTGGTACAAAAGACCTTCACAAATATTGATGGAAAATGAATCCTGGATTCTGATGGGGACTGAATGTGAATTCTAGCATGCTGCACAGTGATCATGTTTCCTCTGCCAGTGCTCTGTTAGTGTCAGTGACGAGTGTCAGTTTTTTTGTTTTGTTAAAGTGAGAACCGCCTAAATGGAGCAGAAAGACTTAAACGTCAGATTAGATTTGAACAGACACTTCAGTATGATGTGGCAGAAGGTTTTGATAAGCCCTTGGGCAAGCCTGCTTTGTTTTTGCGCACTTGGAGTACTGTGAGTCAGGTATACTGGATGGGTGGAGCCGATCATATGTGCAATGTTAGTTGAATTCTTTGTGTGCCTAAAAGGCTGGAATACATGATCCAGAATTGACTGACAGAATAACGATAAAATCATAATACCTGGTGTGTTACACTAGAAATGACATGCTTCTGAAGTTTAATGAAGCAGCAATTTTGTTAAATGCCCCATGTGCTGCCTGTGCACACCTTGTATGTTGCCATTGTCTCTTAAATATTTAAATTGGTTGTGGGAGCGTGGAACAAGTTATGTCGAAGCCTATACCGTGGCTTCTTCCAAAAAACAGCTGGCTGAGCTCCTTGGATCAGTTGGCTGAAAACTACCACATGCACTAGATGAGCCAAATGACCTCCTGTAGCTTCCTCTTGTCTGTAACCTTTGTGTCTTATGTCGACACGCTGTCTATTTTAACAGCTTGCGAAGAGCTTTCCTTAACATCCGCAAGCATTTGCATGAATTCTCTCAAACGCAAGTCGGAAGTTTATGATGCGACAAAAGCCGACATTCCAAAAAAAGTTTCATGGTGTGTGAATTGTAAATACAGTAATTTACAACTCAAGTTTGTTTCCACACAAATGCATGCAAGTGAAAACCGAACTCAAGAACTGCTACAATCCAGTGTCACCCAGGGGGGCTCCCATCTGAGTTAAACTCTGCTTCATAGGCTCAAAGTTGGTAAGAAGAATTGCTGTGTGTGGCGTTTGGAATGGGAAGCACTTCAGTTATTTATTTTTGCTAACAGACTGGCAGTTAGGCCCAGTGCCCAGAGCCCCTGCTGCCCTTTGGCTGGACCGGTGCGTGTGTCATAGTTCACTGCCCACCTTCAGTCCAGCTCATGGCTTGAGCTTGTGTCACAGTACAATACACAAAGAGTTCTCCCAGTGTTTGGCTTGCATTTCAAGGACTTTGATATTTATCCACACAGTGATTACACGAGATCCGTGTGTTTGAAAAGCTAATGGAGAGATCTTAATTATAGTGTAAGGGTGGAAGTGCGAGATCAACTTCAAGGTGTGTGACTGGTTATTAGGACATTTGATCAGTGTTTTCAGTTGGTTGCTGTTTTTGCGGGATCTTGAAGCACAGTGTGTTAGTGAATAATATTGTTTGTGTTGCCTACTTCCAGCAGCAGGGGAATTCAGCTTTTTTTCTTTGGAATTCAATTAAGTATTGTAAACCCTCAGTTTAAGTCTGATAGGGGGGAAAGAGGTGTTTATGATTTCCAAATGTCCCTTAAATAATTTTTTTTGTCCAAATACATCATCATGAGAAAACAATATATACAATGAATGCTTTCTGGACTGTTTGACTTTTTTTTCCCCACACACAACACAATGAAAATGCCTTTATTAGCAATGTACGAACTCTATTTCACATCGAAATATACTGAATAAAACTTGTTAAAGCATATGAAACACAAACTACTACCATTATAAGCAATTAATCTACCTGTATAGGATACGTATGTTTTTACGTATACAGGTAGGTTACCTATTGTTATTCCTTGAATTTTAAGCCTATGCACGTTTGTTTAATGTTGTTACAAAAAGTAGGTTTTATCCGTTACACGTCCATTTCACTGAGGCTTTCCTGTATAGCACACATTTGGACATTAATTCAGAATTTGTTAGTAGTGACAAAACCCTGAGCACATGCAAATCAAGACTCAAAACCTTCTTTAGAATGGGTTTTAGTTAACTGGAGTTGTCTGCCCCTTTCCTTACTGTATGCAAACCGTTATTGTCTTTTGTAATTCTGCTGTCCTTTCTTACTGTAAAGTGCTCTGAAAAGCCACTTTTAAAGGTACTATGTATTAAAAAATGATTAGAAATGAGCATTAGAGATTTTTTCATGCTGAGAACTGCCTTCGTTTTGTACACCACACAAGAAGCTGCCTGTACCGATTATCTGGTTAATTATCAGGGAGATAGGGGTCTAATGCAGCAGAACATTGACTGTTCCTGTGATGCAATATGTACTCATGTACGTGTTAAGTTTATTATTCATCGCCTGATCCTCCATTACTAGGATTTGTGAGGTTAAATCCAAAGATTACGTTACTCTTTCTAGCAGATGTGTACTCGCAAGTAGTCTGCTTTCTCAAGCTGCATGCAGAGTAAATAAAGGTAACTGGTTATGAATAGATGAGTCAGTGAAATAACTTGAATTAACCTACACGAGCCTGGTTTTGGAAAGGCAGGTGAGCCGTTAAGTTTGAGAAGAAAAAAGCGAAGCTGGAAAGCAAAAGCTAGAATAGAGACAATACAACCACACATGAAATTCACAATCTTGTTCCTTAGCCATTTTTTAATTATCTTCAAAAACATTGATAGCTCGAGCTGTCTTGTTCAATTTTACTACCTTCAGTGACTTACTGCAGCAGAATTTTCCCCCTGAAAGATGCAGTCGGGGGGCCTGTATGTATGATGTCACATTCAATTTGTCTTCAGCACAGCTCACTTGCCTCTTGTTCTTAAGAGGCGTTCGTGTGCTGTTACAATACTTCCCAGCTTAGTCTAAAAGTGGAGCCTGAAAAAATAATACCACATGAAAAAGAAATTTATAAAATGCTACTGGGTTTTCATAAATGGGATTTTCCCCCCTTTTCATTTGAATTTGGCAGTACTGATGAGGTCTCTACGAATCTGTTATTTTAATCAGTTCTGATTTAATGCAGGTATTATTAGAGCTGACTTTGGAACTCCTTAGGTGAGAAAGAGAGAGCAGCCAGGCTTTGTGTCTGTTTGATTTAGACTATCCGTTTTAACTTACTTTATACCATTTGGCCCCCTGAGAAGAGGAGATAGCAAACTTTGTGTATACGAGCAAGTTGTGTTGAATGATGGCGAATGTACCTCAAGTAGGTGGGATTCCTGTTGTAAAGAAGAGTTGGAATTCTCCTGAGGATTTTGTCTGTTCTGTGTCGCTAAACACATGAGATTTAGATCACATAAACTGTGAATGACTAATATTTATATTCCTTTCTTAGATTATAAACCTCTTTTCTGAACTGTGTTCTTAATCTAAAATTTATATGCAAAGTCTTCCACTCTTAGGTTCCTAGTTTATCTAAAGTGTGTAATTCTTGCGTGAAGTGGTATTGTCTCCTTTTTTGACGTCACTTGGAATTGCTATGTACCTTTCCTTAAAATGCAGTTACTTTAAAGCTAGTTTGGTCAACAATGTTTTTGTTGACTTCAGTTTTGTACTTCGAATACAATTATCCAATGAAGTGAAATTTTAACTGGATTTGTTATATGAATTAATATTAATTCCTTTGCTTGTAATAAATACAAATATCAGGTAACAAGAGTCCCTAGTTTTTCCTGTGTTCGTGTCAATTGGATATCAAGGGGAAAGCTAGGCTTAACCTTTCAGACACTGAGAGACAAAAAGACAGTGACCGTTCACAGCAACTTGTCAAAGTGTCAAGGTTAAAAGGGAGGGTGTGTATGAATTGGGTTTGGATAGGCCACACATCGCTTCGATCAGGTCAGGATGCGTTCTGCGAGCTTAGGAAAGTGACCCTGTGCTGTTCCTTTCAGTTCTATCTCCAGGACACGAAGAGCAGCAATGGCACCTTCATCAACAGCCAGCGCTTAAGTAGGGGTTCAGAGGAGAGCCCACCTTGTGAAGTCTTGTCGGGGGACATCATCCAGTTTGGGGTTGATGTGACGGAGAACACTCGCAAAGGTAAGTGGACTTGACCGTCATTATTATTGGTCCGCCAGCTTTGACTTTCACCGGGGCTGGTAAAAGAATCTCTTTTCGCTCATAGTGTCCAGTTGGTTCTCCAGGTTTGGTTATAATAGGTCACCCTTGCAGCGAGACATTCATTTGAGTTTATTTCCATTTTGTTTCTCCGTTTTTACATTAACTGCTTATTAGCAAAAAGCATTCCATTCCTTTTGAATTTAGAAGAGATGGAGAATTGTTAAACCATTGGAATTGCTAAGGCAATTAGCAAATTACAGATTCAACTTGCTTTGCTTACAGAAAACTTATCTGTAATGTGATTGAGTCGTCTTAGAAAGCTTCATATTTGTCATTTTGTGAACCATGCCAAGTGAATAGCTCCCCTTAGTGGTGATGCCCTAATTCTGTTTGATCACAGCCTACAGACTGATTGGGAGTTGTCAGTGTTTTCTGAGTGTATCATTGCCTTTTGAAGAAATCCGTCTCAATGAGACCCCCAAATATCCTCAATCTACTAATTAAAGCATTTCAACTGAATTTCAAGTCAAAAGATCCACCTTCTGCATGGTCAAAACAGATGCACTAGAAGTGGGGGTGAAAGATGTTTTTGGGGACCATCTGGGCAGAGTCTGATGGCCCACAGGGATCCCTGGACTCCTGGTTGAAAAACACTCTAAAGCAAACTGTTTGAAATATCAAATCTTTATCATGTATTTGTTAAATTGCCATAAAATAGCCTCATAATTGTTTAAACAGTATGAAGAAAAGGCTTAGATGCAGTAATGTCTGAGTGTTACAGAATTTACTGTTCTGTGTATTAAGACAAAACAGGCTTTGAACTAGGAAAGAAGGCAGGGCTGTAACAAATATGCTGCATTTGCTTTCTAAAATGCTGTGGGTGGTTTATGATGTCAGTTCCTTGGCAGAAAAGCACAGAATGGCTTTGAAACTTAGTGGATAGCTGTTTGCTGGCCTAAAAAGTTTGTAATATGTGGAGATGAAATGGCTGTTTTCACGATCAAAAAGAGCAGCTTAATTCCAGTGTAACTTATCAGGTGGGAACTTCCAGAGGGCAGAGGGCAAGGGGCACAATACGTGCCAGAGAGCGCAAATGCTATCTGCGCCCTCTGATACCTAGTTTCCACTGGAGTTCGGAATTGCTGAGATTGTGATTCTCTGCCGAACTCCTGATGCCAGTTTGCCTTTCAATTAATCAGATTTAGAGAGCTAAGAGATTGGCTCCATTGCATCCCAGGCTCTCTTTAATTTCAATTATCTGCTTTGAATAAAAATACCATATGGCTTATCCTTTTTTGGGGTTTTCTTCTTGATCCACCAGTATTAGATGTAAGAAAAACATGTTCTCTATATAAAAGAAAAATCACCCTAAATGTTCCAGTTCAGTTTGCAGATTTTTTAAATATATAGAACACTGCATCATCCATACAAGTCTCGCTGCATGACAGTAGCAGTTTCGCTGAAAATATCACTCTTGTGTAGCTATTCAAGAGGAAGTTGTCTTGAGTGTATAACAACAAGAGGTGAAGAAATGCATATTGGCCAATATAAACACTGCAAAACTGTGCTGTGCATCTCACATGCAGACAAGATGATATGGGTTCATGTAGATAGTGCTGGTAACCTTATTTTCTTTACCATTTTAAAATCCAAAGTTACAAGATTTTAAACTATTTTCCTCAAGAATGTACCACATATGCTTAGGTTACACCTGTGCTTGTATACCTATAATTTTGTCTTTGTTTTTCCTTTGTAGTTACCCATGGGTGCATAGTGTCTACAATCAAGCTCTTTCTACCAGATGGCATGGAAGCCCGGAGGAGATCGGAGTGAGTTTATTTTTTCTCCCTTTGCTCTGTCCGTTTTGAATATTTTGTTTCAATTTACATATACAACGTTTAGATCAAAACTGAATTCCAAGACAATGACTCAAGTTTAGTAACAAAACGTAGCATTTGTTTTGTGCTCAAAACAAAAGTTTTTTAAGATTGAGTTGGTCTAGCAGCTCCTGATGTTTAGCACTTTTTTAATAAACTTCTGAGACTAAGTTAAAAGGGTTTACTTTAGCTTAAGGTTGTTAGATTTGCTCTTGTGTGTTGGGGAAAAAAACTGCCACCTCATGTTCTCAGGCGTTGAGCTACAAGCACACAGAATAAAGGATGAATTCACAGAAATGTAGAGAGAATGAAGTTTGGCAGCATTAAAATGAAGACTTAGTTCTGTCCTTGAGTATTGCTGGAATGCTGTTACTTGAAACTTGTTGGTCAACTGTCCCATTAATTATAATGCATCATATTCAGAAGCTTGACATCTACTGAGTGAGAATAAAGACCAAATCTGAGTGCGTTTGTGCTATATTAAAAACAAGTAGAATTAAACCTAGTTATATTCACTTTGACATGGTCACTGTATTTTAGCCTTTTTATTTATACTGAAAATCTAAGAATATAAAGGATGCTTCTGTAGTGGCCTAAATGTTAACATCCCTGACAGTTTGTGATGTGTGGCCTGATGGGATGTCTCATTTGCTGGTTTTTTTCACCCATTTTGCCTTATTGTCTTCTAATAACGGTCTTGTTTGGTGGAGTTAAAGGTCATAGTTGGATTTTTGTAGGACATGACGCAGGAATGTGATTATTAAGTTGAGCAAGAGAATTTTGTCATTTATTAGAAGGGCGATCAGGAATGCAGACACCATTTGACGTATTTTGTGTAAGCAAACAGATTGTTTTAAATTTAATTCATGTAATGCATAAAGCAGTAACGTTGTCTAATAATAGAACCAAATATATACATTTGGCTTTTAGTAGGAAATACTGGAGTGCTTTTGGAGGTATTTTGACTTTGTTGATGCTAGGATACAGTGTGGAGCTTCGAAAGCAGCAGTGATTTAGGGGTCATCTTCCATTGACAGATGGTTTTTCCACAAGCGGCTCTTTTTGGCTGCAGATCTATAAGAGCTGCCAAATATGTGGAAACTAGGTGTGTGCAGAGTATCCAGTTTTCCCACTGTAATGCCAGAGGGGCTTCTTCAGAATTGGCAGATTATGTGTGGGGACATCCTACTTACTGAGATTAAGATTGTCTACTTGTAATTTAAAATGATCCCATTTTAAGTTTCTCAACTTGGGCTTCATACAGTCATACTCCTTTCTTAATAGTACAGCCATTTGATCTCATAATTAACTCATTCTCACACTTGTGCAAGGCATTTTATATTCAGAACAGTTCTTGAGTTGAGTATTTACATAGGTCACTCACAGACCAAGCACTCTTAGATCTGTGGTTTACTGTATACATTTTTCAGTGCTTTATATATTTTAAAGCACATGAATATCACTCAAATTTATATACAATATGTTTGGGTAGTAGCTGTGCAGAATACAACAAAATACTTTTCATATTTCCAGCGTCCTGTAAACACGGCCTGAATATGTGAATTTCTTGAATACGGTTTGCGTTTTTGTTATCACTTTAGGTATCTTGTGATCAGGCTGCATGAAAGACACCTTCTTTTAATCTTGCCTCTTCTTAGCATGCTTGAGAATGGCTCAGGTGTAGCTAAAATACTCTTGGGATGATGTTCCTGAGGTATTCTCATCAAATAAAATTGAACTATAAATTGTAATCCATAATATTGAGTTAGGTAGCATGTCAAAGTAATAAATTAAAAGAGGCAAAATGCTCCTCAGAGGAGATCTTAACAGTAACAGATAGCAGAAAGAGGAAGCAGCTTTTTATGTTATTTATATTGTGTGTGCTGCAAATGTTTCCTCTAACTGTTCACAGTCTAGGCCTTTATGCCTCTTGAAAGAAAATCTTGATTCGTCTTCCACTGCTGTTAAGGAGCCCACAGCACTATGGGAATTTCAAGTACAACAACTAGAGATTTTACAAAAGGAAATGGTAAACATTTTTAGAAGCACGCTGCTCGTCGTTCAACAGCATTAGTCTTTGGAATGTGGCCAGAGCTATGGGCTGCAACCACAAGTGATGCTAAGAACTCTGTGGCAACGTCTGCTACTGCTTGTTGTCTTGTGGGAGGAGAGGACTAATTTATAGTCGTAATATTGCATCTAAGGAAAGGCTCTGAAACGTAACCAAGAAGGATATTGCATCTTTATCCAGACAGGGACTCTGCCCAGAATCCACAGAGATTAATTTCGGAGAGAAAAAACATCACCATCTGCAGAAGATAATTCAACACGCTAAGCTCCTTTGATGCATTTTGTAATCTTCTCATACCATAAAAATTCTTACTTCTGACCTTGTTATTCAAATATAATTTCTTGTAAAATTATACTATTCAAGGCAGTTTAGAAGCATATGCTTATTTCTTATATATCCAGAAATATATTCTGGTCAAAAGATTTGATTTGTGCTGGTTCTATGTTGTATTAGGTTTTACAAAAATGCCAGAATGAGAGGCTGTTTCCTCTTTGCCTAAATGCCTTTTCTGCTTGCTTTCTGGCAGTGCACAGTTCTGTCATAATTGCGTGCAGTGTTTGTATACAAGCTGCTGAATGGTGGGACAAATGTAAAATCCTGATAGTTATCCCTAAGAACGTCCTCATTAAAATTCACTTTTTTTCTGATTTATTTTAAGCTAGCGCTATAGAAATAGACTTTTATTCAGTATTTCAGGAAGCAGTCGGAATTGCCACCGCAATTTCTTGTTTAAACCCCAGGATCTCTGCAAAGATTCCAGTACTTCACACTTCACTGTTCTTGGGTCTTAAGTTGCCGAGATCCACAGAAGGACTTGCACATAAATTATTCGATGCTATGCTTTCCATTTTGGAGCTGTAATTGCACTTTTCTTTTACTTGTAGATGTTGTCATTTGCTTTAAGTCATGTTAAGAACCATATTTAATAGGGAAGGGAATCATATACTCTTAATGTGCATCTGTTTTGGGTCCAGAAGGGGCCATACATGTCATTCCAATGACGCAGTCTTTTATAAAATTAAAGTCTCAAAGCCATAAATGGGATTCTTGAGATTCTCCTTCCATGGAAAGGTTGTCATTTATAGCTAATTTGAACTGGAAGCTTGTACCTATAGCTCTAATAACATTTAATGGATCTGTGCATGTATATTTTTAATACTTTTGGTTAACTGTTAATGGGTTTATGCAATAAGAGATAGTCTGGGTTAGACTAACAATCATATTAAGTGAGATTTGTATAAATGAAAAGGTTAATTGTGACCTTTTTTTATCTAACCCTCCCAGCTGGTTTGTAGTAGGGTGTTGTAGAAAGATACAACTTTTCAGTACCATATCAGGAAATGTTTATTAGAACTCAAATCAATAGTCTTAATCCAACATTGCCCAGTAATACTAAACCCTTGATCTTCACTAGACATTCGAATTGTATCTTCACAGCCCTTGGAAATGCCAGTATCTGTACATTGCTGCATCTGAGCAGTTTGAGCATTATACATTATAGCCAGTCTTGTCACATCTTGATGTTTCTAATGGAATGTTCCAAAAATAGTTTATTTTATTGTCGTCCATGTGCTGGGAGATATCTCTGGAATGTAGTACACCAGGCATTTCATGCTTCATTTTGATAAATGTTAACTTGGGTCTAAATCTTATGCTAACATATTCCATTCCCTTATATCTCTTTATTTGATTCAAACTTTTGAGCAAGATAGACTAAGGATAAACTGATGCCCTGAATTTGACATTGTGACACACATTTGTTATAGAGCTGTGAAAAGTGTGTGGTCTTTTGTAAAATGTATAAAAATACCTTTCAGCAATTGGAGCTGTCCCTTCCTGCTTTTTAGGAAAATTATTTTTTTTTCTAAAAACAATTCTCTAAAACAAATCGGTAGAGAAGAAAATCTCACAGGGAGGGTACATCCCCCAGGTTACTACCAGATTATTTAAGACAAAACAGGCATACTTGGAACATTTTCTGTATTAAACACCATTTTTGCTAATTATCCCTAAATCTCTGCAAATGCAGCACTCAAGCTGATCTTTACAAATGTCTCCGATCAAGTTTTTAAAAGCAGTCAAGTTCCAAAACAAATCAGTAGGAAAAAGAAGTCAAATAAGATTAACTGGTAAATCCTTGGACTGCAAAAAGAATTAGTACCACAGACCTTAATCATACAGGAGATTCAGCTGAAGGGGAAAATGAAGGGCAGCTCAGAGATCAGCATCTGCAACCATCAGTCACATGAAAGGGATGTTTACTCATTATAGCTAGTATGCTGTTTGCTGGCAGATTTTTTTTATTCCATTCTCATTGTGCAAATGCAAAATTGAAACTTACTGAAGTAGAAGGGAAGAAATATTAGAGTTTGGACCTGTGAATAGAGCTGAATCCATGTCTGAAATTCGAGGAATTTAATGCTGGACCTGCTTTATTAAAAGACTATCCAGATGAGATGGATGGAACTCCATCATTAGGGGCTTTTCTGTGCAAAACCTGTTCTTTTCACCTAGTGGAGCTCTGATCTTTGCTGCTTTAAATTAAAACCGACATTAAGCAATGTTTGTCTGATAATACTGTGCTTAAGTCTGCCAAAGTATATTTAGAATGTCTCTTGAGGGGGAAAAAAATTTGAAATCATTTTCAAAACCAATGATAAGAACCACTTTTTGGCTGTTTTGACCCTGGTCATGTTATGCAGCTTAACATGAGTAATAGTGTCTGTGAACTAAGAATTAGGAGCCACTGTAATGGTCCTGTGGTTGAATTTTATTTTGGTATTTTCAGAACTTGGTATGTTCAGCAAGTTTTCCGGGCTGACCCAGTAAACCAGAACAGAATGTTTTTTCACTTCTCTGGGAAATAAAAACCATTTAAAGTTAATACTTCTTTACCTCACAGTATGACTTTACATTTGCTTGGCAATTTATTTAAGCTGTTCTGTGCCGGTAAATTATTTTTTCAGATTTGTATTAAAAGCTATCTAGGGAACAGCTGAGAGACTGAAAATACACTGCTTTTAAAATTTGTTTGACCGGAGTGTTTCCATATTGCCAAAAAAGACATTGTACAGGAGCACATTTTGAAAGCTTATAAGTACATTATAATAAGCCTGCTAGGTTTACCTTTGGAAATTTAAATCTGTGGAAAATTTAACAACTTTGACACTTTTTATCAATTTTAATTTAATGTTTAGAACTCTATACATTTTGTTTGCTGTTGATTTTATGTGAAGGTCTGTAGAGTTGGAGCTGGTCAACAGAATTTCCTGTGTCTTTAACGTTTTCAAAGTGACTTGGAGGGAAAAACAAAGCTATTTATCATTTCAAACTGATCAGTTTGAGTTCTATAATTTCAATCTCTTCCTCAAAGCCAGGTTGCTTGCCCATTGTTATGTAACTGTTGAATACCACACCTATTCGCAACATACCCTTTTAGAGTCAAACTCAGTACTGTGCAACTATCAAAGTTAAATATTTACTGAGGTTACGCAACTGAATGTAAAGCTGCCATTTCACTTTTATTTTTCATGTGTTGCCCTTGTAAACCATAGAAGCTTAGTTTTTTTGTTTGGTACACGTTAAGATTGGACTAAAATTCCCTTTGCTTTTCTGTGTTTTCCAGTGTTATCCAAGCGCCATTACCACTTCCTGTTGATAAGGTAAGTCAGTCTCTGCAAGGTTGCCCTGTTTCAGGGTTTAACAATGTTTGGAGCTTGGAACCATTTTTTTTTTGTTTCTTTTAGGAAGTTTAAAGAGTCTTGCTCTTTGTATTTTCCTTGTATTTCCCTTCCTTTTTTGTATTTTCCCATTTCATTGGACCATGTGAACCCATTTTCTCTGAAACTATTATTTGTCTTTTTAAACTGTGTACTTAAGCATGAATGAGCTTTATAATCTTCTTTTCTTTATATAACTTCCAGTTTTAGTACAGTTATGCACTTATTTTTGCACTAATTATGATTGGACTTAAAGAAGACTTTACATATAACCTTAGTTTTCAATAAATTGTGAATCAGGTACAATACAGTCAAACTGAAAAACTGGGTAGGGTAACAACAGAGCAGTGTACTTTACTGTGTGTCATACTGAATAACAATGAGCTGCTCTGATGTTGACTGGGCTTGTTGATTTTATTCTCAGCAGTGGCTCCAATGTGCCACCTAATGGCAGCTTCGCAAAAAATTCAACAGATCTGCCAGGCCATGGAACTTAACCAGCCCCGTTAGAGCCACTTCTGTTCCAGAAGTCACCAATAAGTTCTCATATTAAATGCAATGCAGACTTCAACTGCTCATTGAATAAAAAGAAAAACTTGTCAAAGTATGTAAAAACAACAGGGCACACTGTTTCTGCGCTTCTGTACTGTAACTACTGTGACGTTGTTTTACACTGGTTAAACGAGGAAGTTAATGCCCAGTTCTTTCCTTTAATTTATGCCATTCTCTTCCTGCTTTGATCTTGCTATACAAAAAAAGCATTTGGTATTTGATGTATTGGACACAGGCAAATGTGCAGACGTAGTCTTAATTAATCTTTATGTGGAAGTGGAGGAATTCATAATAGAACAGTAGATAAGATTAAAGTCTACATCGAAGGAGACCACCTGAGCTCCAGTACCTGGATCAAATCATGATTTTAAAGGTAATTATTGTTATGGTCTACTTATATATAGATCCCAGAGTCTCCCTATATTTGAGATGAGTTATGTTCTACAGTACTTCTTTATCTTCACCGGTATCATTGCTCTTGTCCTGCATTCCCACCAGATGGTGATGGAAGCCCATTCTCAAACTGAGAATTAAAAAGTACAGAGCACAGTCGAATCAGATCAAAGGCAAGCTGAATATGTCTGGTATCGGTTGCCGTTCGGCTTTGTTTTTAAAGATTGGTCCCAGTACGTGTTTGAACATTAAGTGTAAAAAGTTTCAGCAGCTGTAAGCAGGAAGAGAAACATTTTTTCCATACTTTATACAAGTAGCCATAGCTGTCTGTCCAGTGCATCCAATGAATATTCATATATGTGGCATAATTGTACATGGAAGCCAATGCAGCAATTGTGACTCTGGATTTGATGGTGTCTGCAAGGGTTTCACAATGCATGTAGCTCAATCCTTTAGGCTTGACGCTGCCAGTGGCTTAGTAGTTAAGAGCTTTATGTCCTATAAAAAACATTTTTATAATCATTTGATTCATATTCAGTAACATTCCTGGACAGCTACTGTAGTGGAATACATCTGCTTCGGTTTATCGTAGCTCTATATTGCTTGTATTTCTGACCTTTCCTTAAAAGCTGTTTCATTTTCCCTTTGTGCTCCATCTTATTAAACTCCTGTTCAGATTAGCTACTGTGGCTAGTTTTACATTTCTAGTATAATCATATCTAAGGAGGTATTACCTCTGTACTTTTAACATCTGTTAGAAGCTGGTTTAAAAACTTATCTTGAATTGAGTTTGAATTTTACAGTGCTTGACACTTATTTCCTTTGACCCTGCAGGTTGCTGCTAATACTCCCAGTATGTATTCTCAGGAACTGTTTCAGCTCTCTCAGTATCTACAGGTATGGTGCAGTGTTGACCTCTGCTGTTTTTCTGTTGTAACAGCACTTTTTTTTCCTTGGGTTTCTAGTTTTTAACTGACTTACAAGCTTCGCTTTAACCGGCTTATAAAAAGACTTATCGCAATGTTTATTAATTCCCCCCTTTTATTTTTAGTGCTGCACAGTTCTTGAGCCTTTTCAGTTTTTTATTAACTTTTAGACGTTTTGAGCACAGATCGACAGTCTGCATTTCTGTTTTGCACAGTGTGCCTTGGACACCACTTGTGCCTCTTAACATCTGCACAGCTTATTGTAATGAGATACCTTACTGACACCATGCATAAGGTGTGCTATGTTACCACTGAGTGTGGTCCTCAACATGGAAATGGTTCAATAGGAAAACTGTGGGTTCTTTTTTTCAAACTGGAATGTTGTGTCCATGTACAGCACCTCAAGAACATGGTACCTCTGGGTTCATTTATAATTTGGTTCGTTTTGTGCGATTAAGGAGCCTCCTTTAATTCCTCATCGGAGGGAAAATGCACATAAAAAAAACAACGAACTTAATAAAAAACAATACATAAACTGTATGCAATCGGTTAAATGGCAAGGTTTATTGTTGCCCCTGGGTATTGCATTGCAGCTAATGTTTTATGTGACCCTTTGACTTTGATTAGGAGGCCTTACACCGGGAACAGATGCTGGAGCAGAAGCTGGCCACCCTGCAGCGATTGCTGGCAAGCACACAGGAGGCCTCCGAGAGCAGCTGGCAGGTAACCACTGATACTGGGGGCTGTTTCACTGGTTTACACTGTCTGCACAGGCTGCTGTCGGGCCATTTTCATACTGGGCCGAAGTAGCGTTTATGGGTTGCGATTCTGCTAAGTTCATGAACTACACAGGGTCCCAGCTGCTAAGAGGGAACTAAAATAATTTGGTGTTTTGAGTCTTGAAAATGTTCTTTTACAAGTGCACGGACATGCCACAATATTAGCAACCCCACGTCAAATTAAGTCTGTCTGAGGAGCAGGGGGTATACTTACTGTGTATTGCTTTTGCTTGCATTTCCTATTGATGAACTATTGCCAGACTTTCGAAATGTGCCTTTCAGCCCCCAACAGAGTGAGCCTCAATCCATTCCTCAAATAAAGATAATCCTTCTACAGCACATGATGTGACCAGAATGCAAGTGTTTCAGACCAAAACAGAATACATATAACACCCTGCTCATCTTATTCTTACTGCTTTCAAGGGCCAGCATATCATATTTTCAAATATTTTTGCCTGTTAGTGTGCTTTTTTTCTGTAATAGATTTACACAGAAATCTCAAATCTACCATCTTATTTCAGGCCCATAGAAAAATTATAAACATTGTCCAATGTGTGAGTATATACGGATTTCCATATAAATCGAAAATACTGTGCTTTTCACAAAAAACGGCTCGAGGTCAGAAAAGATTGTTGTGAAAATGGTATTAGATTGCTGATATGACTTTGTTTCCAACAGGCTTTAATAGATGAAGACAGATTGCTTTCAAGGTTAGAAGTCATGGGTAACCAGTTGCAAGCATATTCAAAAGTAAGTTTTATTTTTCTAAATTATTAAAATAATGTGGGTATCTTGTATTTGAAATCTGCCATTTAGAGTTATTTAGTATACAGATGAATAATGCTTAACATGTAAAATGGTAAGATTGATCTGAATGTGCTTTAACACTGATGTTTTTTTAATCTTTTTTTCTTTATTGTGGTACATAGTATATGCGATAAACAAGACAATGACAGATGTTTTCACAGTATTTTATCTTTATTCAGCACAAACATGAGGTGACAATTGCTAGGTATGGGGGATTTGATTTTAGAACATCTGTTCAGATAGCTCAGTATTTAGAAAAAAAACATCCTGAAACTATTGATTTCCCATATTTACAGTTTGAAAATATTTGATTTGTTCTTTGGTTAGTCTTTCATCCAAGCACACTCAGTCTTGGTTTGCTGAAAATTAGAAGATAGCATAGCTATCACGTATGTTTGAATTATTATTTAGCATTATCAGATTCCCAGAGTTTCCATTAGAAACGAGTTACTGAGATTCAGGCCTCTACTGCTCTTTGTATGAAGTGTCGTTAGCCATGTCGAAGTAAGATTGTTTAAAAGCCAGTGTTGCCAGCAGATATATCACCCTGCAACGCACAACTGGCAACCTACTGAAGCTAAGCAGGTGTGAGCCTGGTCAGTACCTGGATGGGAGACCTCCTAGGAAAAACTAAGGTTGCTGCTGGAAGAGCTGTTAGTGGGGCCAGCAGGGGGCGCTCACCCTGCGGTCCATGTGGGTCCTAATGCCCCAGTATAGTGACTATACTCTAAACAGGCGCCGTCCTTCGGATGAGACGTAAAACTGAGGTCCTGACTCTCTGTGGTCATTTCTCGAAAAGAGTAGGGGTGTAACCCCTGTGTTCTGGCCAAATTTCCCATTGGCCCTTACCAATCATGGCCTCCTAATAATCCCCATCTATGAATTGGCTTCATTACTCTGCTCTCCTCCCCACTGAGAGCTGATGTGTGGTGAGCGTTCTGGCGCACTATTGCCGTTGCATCATTCAGGTGGATGCTGCACATTGGTGGCGGTGGAGGGGAATCCCCATTACCTGTAAAGCGCTTTGAGTGGAAAAGCGCTATATAAGTGTAAGCAATTAATTAATTAAAGCCGGTCCTGAGACACCTTTGCTGAGGTTCCACTTGAAAGTGGTTTCACTTTGTGCTCCCAGAACCAAACAGAAGATGGCATCCGGAAGGAGCTGGTAGCCTTACAGGAGGACAAACACAACTATGAGACAACAGCCAAAGAGTCCCTGAGGCGGGTTCTTCAGGAGAAAATCGAGGTGGTCAGGAAGCTGTCTGAAGTGGAGGTTAGTATGACCTGTACCAGCTATCACTGCTTACTTTCGCACTGCAGAACATGAAACCTGTTACTACATTTTTTTCTTGGTATCTGAAGAACGACACCTCTTGTGGTAAAGTCCATTTTATGGTTGAAAATTGTTTTTTTTTTTTTAATGCATCAATGGCACAGAATAAAGAAGTGAGTTTCAGGTATAAGACCTCTTAGCAAATGTAGGCAAAATTACTCTCAAACTTCGACAAAATGTGTTCCTGGATTTCCTTATCTGTGTATTTCGCTTTTTGAGAGGGATTTGTAAAATGTGATGAATTAGTTTAGAGTGATGCATTCCCCACCTACCAGTTATAGTAAGGATTTTTAATTTGTACTGTGCATATGAAAGCAGTTTTTTTATTAGCTTTCCATATATGACCTGCTCGATCCAAATTTAATCCAAGTGAAGGGTTTTCTGTCACAGCAATTGGAAAAGTATTGTAGACGGTCATAATGAGTCATTCTTTTAACAGTAAATATTGAAGATCAGATTTCAATGGTGCGTGATTTATAGTGCTGTTCTATTAAATATTCATAGTAAAGTATAAGTACTACTAAATCAAGTATGCAGTAAAGTAAAAGGAGAGTTGTAATTTGCCACTTTGTGTTTCAGCGGAGTCTCAGTAACACTGAAGATGAGTGTACACACCTGAAGGAGATGAATGAACGCACACAGGAAGAGTTAAGGGAGCTGGCTAACAAATACAACGGCGCTGTTAATGAAATCAAAGACCTTACTGACAAGTTAAAGGTACGTGCACATGTGGAGGGCACTCCGATTAATCAGAGACAGTTAGGCAACTGGTGTGAGAAATTGAAAATGGATGCAGGCAAGTAGGTTTGTGAGACAGATAAGAAGACGTATTTGCAATATGATGAACATGAACAGCAAGGTCTGCTTCGAAGACCTGGGGACCAGATCTCGGCTGGAACCCGAGCTGGGGACCGAATCTCGGCTAGGATTATCAACAAACTCTTTCCGAAATTCTATTGGAAGAGTGACGAAGGGGATGTGCCCTTGCAGCCCTTGATTACACAGGAGTTGTGGGATTAGGAAGTCAGTGTTAGCCTTCATGTGCTGATGTGGTGTAGCGGGAGCGCGTCTGACCCTGGCTGTGTCCGAGCAGCTGGCCGAGGGGCGGCAGGAGGAGATCCAGCAGAAGGGGCTGAGCGAGAAGAAAGAGCTGCAGCACAGGATCGACGAGATGGAGGAGAAGGAGCAGGCTCTGCAGGCCAGGATCGAGGCCTTGCAGGCAGACAACGACTTCACCAACGAGCGGCTCACTGCTCTGCAAGGTAACTTGGGCACAAACCTTGAGGCAAACGGAGCAGCTGGGTAGCACGTGCGCGTTTTAGAATTAGAGAGAGGAGAAACTTGCTGGAAACGGGTGGTTTTAAAGTTTTTTTGTTCCTGGTAGTTAATATATAACTCAGTATTTATCTTTATCTTTATCTTTCGCAATCTACTATTCCCGTTTTCTAAATTGACCCAGCTCTAATCTGAATGTGGCCCTGCAGTCTCAAAAAGTAATTAAAGCATCAATATATGCACTGGAGTCCAAAGATAAAAAATATAAGAAAGGGCATGAACAAGAGGAGGCAATTTCAGTAGTTAATTGATTATCATGCTGTTTTTTTAAAATAAACCAGGTTGTTGACTGGGTAGCTTGTACAGTATTCCCACAACCCAGATTACAACTCGTAAACCTTCCCAGATCTCGGGCTTGTTCTTTGCAGAGTGACGTATGTCCAAAAAAAATAACTTCAGAAAATGTCATTTACGCCTAAGCATTTGCCATGGTTTTCAAGCTTTAAATACATTGCAGCTGAGTCAAACTGTTTTTTGTTGTTTACAGTACGATTAGAGCAACTTCAAGAGAAAAGCATAAAGGAAAACAACAGTTTAGGTGAGTCTGGGTACTATGAAAACGCCACTTAGAATTTGTTTTCTTACCACATCACCTTCCAAATACTAATTTTGCATGGCAACTTAATTTATGTGCTTTTCTGCATTGTCTTTGTTCACAGTCTTGCTTCATTGCTAAATTTTATTCTGTTTTCCTGAGATAGTTA